TATTATTATTTTCAGAAGTATTTAATCTGAACTATTGCCTGCTCATTGCAGTGATGAACATGGAGTCAGAGAAGTCCTTTGACTTGGTTATCTTGGTAATAGCTTTATTATGCTAAGAGTTAACTAATGTTTTTTCTTTTTCTAGCTGGAAATCTTGTGTTCAGTCAATATTCTACAGTTCATATTTATTGCACTCAGACTAGACGAGATCATCAGATGGCCATGGCTTGTACGTAACAAGTGTTTTCTTCTTTGTTTAAATGCTGAATTTCATAAAGATATTTACTCTAGGGAACAGTTAATATGTGATTAGTCCATGATAACATTCTTGCTTGCTTAGCAATCCTTCACTGAGGGTCTGGCATTTCATTCAGTGGTAATTGGAGGCTGTTCTTTGGGCATTTCACCCTTTGAGGGAGAGGAATGTGCCACCAACTGCAGTTAATCCCTGAGCAGTAGTTGAAAGAGAAATCTTAACCAAAGTTTCCAATGGGAACAGTAAACTAGCCATGAAAATGATTGGTGAGTTAGAGAATGTGTTGGTAAACATGGTGTGGTAAATAACTAGTTTTATTTGTTGTGTTACCATGCGTGTAAGTCCATTTATTGTACAACTGGTCACTGTAAACTGCTGAGATGTCCTGTCCCAAATGCCTTTAGAATACAAAAGTGCTCTTTCTGTGTCTGGATTTTTGCAAACTGCCATAAAACTGACAATCTGGCGTGGTTATGTCTGTCCTTTCTCTTTTCCTAAAATTTTGAGAAAGGATTGAAACCCTTCCAAATAAGGTGTCCACTGTAGGAAATACTTGCTAAAATCAATTTCAAGTACAATTTGAGCCCATGTAAAATCATGAATGTCTTACTAAAGTTGAACTACATTGACCTAATTTTAAATTGTTTCATCTTCATGGGGTTTAAAAAGCTGGGGAACCTCAGAGAGCTGATATGGCTCATAACAGCATGCTTGAATTGATGCTCTCCTGTTAGAGATTATAGTTAAAGACTTAAATTTCTTTTTCTTGTTTAGACTTAATATGTAGACATGCTTCATTTGAAAGAACCACACCTGAAACAAATCAAATCTCTCTCTCCCTCAGGTTGTTTGTGTTCCACTGTGGATCTTGATGTCCTTCCTGTGCCTGGTAGTGCTCTATTACATTGTGTGGTCCGTTCTGTTCCTGCGCTCTATGGATGTGATTGCTGAGCAGAGGAGGACACACATCACGATGGCTGTCAGCTGGATGACAATTGTGGTTCCACTGCTCACATTTGAGGTTGGAAAAGCATAATGAGTTTGTGTCTTGTTCTTTTTTTCAGGGAGTGATGAATACTGGGTTTTTTAACTTACTGAAATGAGAATGCTACTTTTTGGTTTGGAATAAAATATTAACAGCAAATGTGTTCTTTAAAGTTTTTTTTAGTAAAATCTGCATTGCATTGGAACTGTAACTACATGCTTCTGTGGAGACCATTTTTCCCCCACAGATGTGTGAAGTTAAAGATCTGAAATCAGCCTATGCTTTAAGCAGTTTGAAAGTGAGTATTGCAATTAAACTGACACTATATTTTTTTTTCCATTTAGATCTTGCTAGTACACAGACTGGATGGACATAATTCTTTTTCCTTCATACCCATATTTGTTCCTCTCTGGCTTTCACTGATAACGTTAATGGCAACAACATTTGGTCAGAAAGGTGGAAATCACTGTAAGTATTTTCAAAATCCTGGAAACAGATCGAAAATCAATGCTAAAATGTATTCTATTAAGATTTGTATTTTGAAAAAGGGCTTTTCTATGTATATTCTCATGAAATAATTCACATATTTGTTAGACTGTTGTTTTCAGGTGACTGCAGTAAGTTTTCTGTGCTTACAGTGTCATCCCATGTGGCACTACTTGCTTTGGTTGAGATGCAAAGTCCTTTTGTGTTCTTTCTCTGTACTGATGTGGCCTGACACTGTGTAACGTGTGCAAATGCATGTCCCTATTCTGGATGTATATCTATGTGTATGTAACCTGAACTGCAAGGGTAAGAAACACTGAGAAGCAGCACTAACAAATTTTATATTATTCACATGCAAACAATCAAGAGAACTTAAATGAGATTGCATAGTCTGCCTGCTTAATTATGTGTTCATTCTGTTCTGCAGTAACATGAAATAATTTTCCCTTTTTCTTTAGGGTGGTTTGGAATTCGCAAAGACTTTTGCCAGTTCCTACTTGAAATTTTCCCATTCCTACGAGAATATGGAAATATTTCTTATGATCTTCATCATGAAGATAATGAAGAGACAGAAGAAACACCACTGCCTGAACCGCCAAAAATTGCACCAATGTTTCGAAAAAAGACTGGAGTGGTCATTACACAGAGTCCTGGAAAATATGTGATTCCACCTCCCAAGTTAAACATTGATATGCCAGATTAAGATGACAGTAGCATATTAAACTTGAACTGGTCATCAGCAGACAAATGTATTTCATCTCATGCCTTGTCCAAATTCCTTTAAAATAGGTATTGCTGAATCAGTGGCTTGGATTACACAAATCAGAGATCTCGAAGATAATCTGAGAGTTTTTCCAGAGGATTGTGGTTGTCTAATTTGTGAACCTTCCTAACGGGTTGGTTGCACGCTTGCCTGTATAGTATTTATATGAACATTTTTAGCAGTGTAATATATTGTTTAAAAGTCTTGTTGTGTACAGTATAAGTATTATCTAAAAGTATTTTTTTAAAAACCCTGTATGAAATGCCTATGCTATTCCAGGTGTCTTTTAGGTCCTAAATATACACTTGATTTTTGTGTCTCCTTTAAATGCTTTGGGGATGCCTTAGCATAGTACCTCTTTACTGCTTTTTCTGTTCAGCCACAATCATTGTCTCAACCACAGAGGCACAAGAGTGTTGCTCTTCTCATGCAACACTGGAAAGCTTTTTTGGGGGGGAGAAGTAGAATATATGGCAACTTCCATGATGCTTTTGAGTTAGCCATGTAAATTTTCATGTAAGTATTTCAACTTTTGCACTGTCTTGGGAGTCACATGTTGCTTTTGTTGTTTTACCAGTTTCACATTTTGATACTTCCTGAGCAGCATGTACACCATTCTCCCACTAGACTGGCTGTTTAATAAGCTGTTCCCCATTGCATTGTGTGCAGTCTGTGCCAGAAACGTTTGTTGTAGGTCTCACAGCTGTTGGTTAGGTATAAATATCATACCTTGGTCTTTGTTACCAACTTTGTGTTGGTTGGTGTAAATGATTAAACTTTTCAAGACAGGAACTCACTGGTGTTGCTATAGCATTTTCTTGTCTGAAGAAAGACCTGCTTTGACAGCATCTTGGACTTACAGGTGCTTTGGAGAAACTGAGTCTATGAAATCTGTAGTCCTGTAGCTTACAAAAATGGATGTCTGGTATTCCCAGATCCTTGCAGCTGCTCTCTGTGTTTAAGTAACCCCCAGTTTTGGTAGTTGAAATACCATAGGTTATGTTTCCCTAGTGTTAGCATGGCAATAAGAGAAGGGAGTGTATGGACATTTCTGCATGTGTGCAAAGTGCACACCTTAAAACTTGGATATGGTGCTTCCATCCTTGATGCTGCAGAGCTCCCTCTTCCTGCCTGTGGAGCAGCTACTGGCTGAAACCCAGCCCAGCACTGTCCTATCCCATACCTTATTTTGTTGCAGTTTTATTTGTTTTGTGGCTCAAGTAAAAAAAAAATCTGTAAATGAAAACCAACAAGTGGTATTTAACGTTTGCTGCTGCTGTTTCATGTCACTGGGACACTGGATGCTGCTCTGATGTCCCAGCAGCACAGCTTGGGTGTCCTAGTGATGACTGAGAACTTTCCCTTGGGATTCTCAGTCAAGCTGGTCACTTCCTTTCAGCTGGCTGTCTGCAGGGCCATCTGACTGCTAAGGTAAATGGCTTCAACTGAAAAATTTGCTCAAACCAAGAAAAAAGAATTTAAAATGGAGCTTTCCTCATTGGAAACTTCATGTGATTCTGGCCAATGGATTTGAGTCAAGCTTGACTTCATCCAGCATGTGATAAAAGAACAGCTAGTGACTCTGCCTTTGGATCTCCAATAGAAGGAAAGTCTCTACAAACCAACTGAGCAACACTGGTGAAGAAGAGAGCATCTGAATTCACCTGAGGAGAGCTCTAGCCAAAGCAATGCCTCCACATTCCTCAGCTTTCCAAAGCAGCTCTGGGATGGTGTTGAGAGCAATTGGTTTGAGTCCCTTTGGTGGGGTGACAAGGGGATGTGTGTAGTGATTCATGAAGAATAGTTCAAAGGAATGGTGGTGCAATGACTTGCCAGCAGGAGGAACAGCTAGGGAGGTACGTTGGGTCCTCTATGTGCAAACTAACTCAGAATATTCTGATGGGACAGGTTATTGGTCCAGTGAAATAAGCCTTTACTACATGGGAGATGAGCATGGCAGTAAACTTTCTGTCATTTGTTTCTCTACTCCTGAGGTACCATTTCTGAGTAACAGAAATGCTGACAGAATATACATTGGTTATTTCCAAGTACTTTAAACGCATAAAATGAAAAGAATATTCTCAATGGGATTTTTTAAAATTTGCTGTGAGTCTTGCTGTACCTGATGCGCAGTTTTCTTGTGGCTGAGAAGGTATGTGTCAGCATCATATCATTCCATGCTAAAGTGGCTGACAATGGTGGTTGGGTTTCTAGATCAGTTTGTATGTTTTTGAAAGATTACTGGTATTTTTCATCTTAAATGAGAGAAAGAAATGTAATACTTGCTTCATTTCATTTTTAACAAGCACCTTCTTTCTCATAATGGCCTTCTTACAACTTCTGTCAGGTCACAGAGCTGTATCCTTTAGATGTGTATCTTGTGTACTTCCCTGTGAGTGAAAACAATCTATCCTTAAAGTAGGATTAGGAGTGGGCTGTGACACAGATACCCTATTAATGATGGCAGCCTGCTTTTAAGCACTATTTTCCTATAATCAGTGATGCAAGCATCATTTAATACGGTTTTATTTACTCACATTTTAAATTGGCACACAATACAAAACGATGTGTTTAAAAAAATGGCATTTACTTAGTTGTTTATATATAGGAAAAATCTAGAAAAAAACATTAATAATTTCCAGTAATAGTCATAAAAATCACATTTGTTTTGCCTCAAAAGAGCACTTCTTCAAAGGTATTTGCCATTTCAGTTTTGGAAGGGAATCCTAAACAAGATGCTGACTTGTGAATTACAATTTTTTTGGGGGGCAGGAAAGACAGTAGTAAGGGGCAACACCTATGCTTCTGAAGGGATCAGTTCTTCAGGGATGTCCACCTGCCACACACCTGTCCTCCCTCTGGCAGGAATTGGTTCCAGGAGCCATCTTGGATTTGAAACAACAGTCAAGTATTTCTCTTCTAGATTACTGAGGACAGCTTTGTTTTCCAGCTCCAGAATCTCTTCAGGAGGCAGGTTTTCTGGATAGAGTGATGTTTCTCCAACGTCAATTAATCCTGTATTGTAAAATTAAAATACAAAATTAGTTGCCTGTTTGATCTCCAAGAGAAAAGTTTTCCAGGAGTTACCCTCCCTGAGGACACACAGAACAGCCACTTTGTTACCAGAGGCACACAGTCAGAGGGATGCACACCTCCAGCCTGTGCCTTTTGCTGCAGAAGATGGCCCAGGTGACTGACCTCAGATGGGTGAAGAACAGGAGAAGCACCCAGTTATAATCACCACAACTCAGTGACAGAGAATTCTGTGAAAAGCAGCCTGCAGCTAAGGAGATACACCTGCTACCAAAACTCCTGAGCTACATTTGGCCTTGAAGCAGATTCATTAAAGCATAAAAAAAAAACCTCTCTGCCCCTCTCAGGGCACTATTCTATTAACATTTTAAAATCATTAAACTATACGGAAATTCCTGCTGTCTGGAAACATCTTCATGTCACAAAAGGGAATTTCTATATTGCTTAATGATTAAAAATGTTAAATAAAGATCAAAGAAGCTTTGATACCTATTCTGCAACTGAGTGTGCAATTTATGCCAAGGCTCCAAATCTGCATATAATGTAGGACCTACAGTTTTCAGCACCGAAGAACCACAACAATTTTTCAGTGTGATAGAAGTAATCTGTTGTACCGGAATAGCTACAAATATTCAAATGACAATGAAAGACAGATGGTTTAACAAATATACCTACACAGAAACAGTGCAAAATGACTGCTGGATAAAAACTTTGTAAGTGTACAGTGCAGCAACATCCACTGTATGTCAGCACAATGTACACAATGAAACACCACTCCATCCTGACTGTTACAGAAACAAACTTCTTCGCTGCCCAAACACTGTGTGTCAGTAAAACTGAAATAGGATTTATGTAATTACTTATGTAATACTCTAAAATGACATGTAAAGCGCTGCAATGTCATGACTTCACTTGAACATGAGTACTGCAAGAGTTCTTCAGCTCAAAATGCAAAAAGTGTGGAATTGACATTTATTATCTTGAAACAAAATAACGTGCAGCCTATGTTATCCTACTGTGATGAGTTAGCACAAATCCATTTATTTCTTGTACTGACTTTGTAGCCTGAAGTTTTAAGTAGAGCGAGTGTTTTTAGAAGACAGAGGCCTGACTAAAATTCTTCAACCTAAAGGTCAAAAATACCTCACATTTCCAACACAATGAAATAGTACAAATTTTACTGACAACTTCCCTTGCTGTACTCAGCCTACAGGAACTGAAATAGACCCCCCCATCACAATTCAGGCTCCACTCCTTCAGACTGCTAAAAAAAGTCATAATGAGAACCACGTGAAGCACATGTGTATTTGAATGTTAACAAACTGAAAGCTTGCTAGGAAAATAAAACCTCAGGTTGCTTACCTGCAATAACTCCTCTGCCGAATTTTTCCCCTTCATCCAACAAATCCTGCACTTGTTTTTCTGTCATACCAAACCTATTCAAAAGAATGTCTCTCCATGATTGATCTTCCCAGTCCTTAACAGCGATATGAATAGCAATGGTGCAGTTCTTGTAGCCTGCTAGCAAGGGACGCCAGCGAGTCTCCACTGTTTTGATCTGGTTCAGAAGCAACCCCGCGTAGGGCTGTCGGAAGGAAAGGCACCCGAATTTCATCGCGTTGCCCGCATCAGAGCCCTGTGTGTTTATTTCCTGTAAACACACAGACAGCCGGAGATGAGTCCCTGCGAGCGGCCGATGCCCGTGACGAGCTCCCGGGCCCGGAGCTGCGCGGCCTCCCCCGGGGGCGGGTCCGCACCGCGGGCCGCGCTCTGCCCGCGCCGCCCGAACCCGAGCACGGCCCCGGCACCGCCCCGGCACCGCGGCGGGAGCTGCCGAGCCCCACGGCCCGGCCCGGCCCCGCCGCCTCCCGCGGGGAGCGCTCGGCCGCCGCACGGCCATGGAGGCCCCGGGGCCGCCGCTTACCTGAGGCAGCGGCTCCGCGCCCTCCGCTGCGCTCGCCGGGGCCGCGGCGGGACGGTGGGTGCGGGCGGGCGGCGGGGCGGGGCGGGCGGGAGGCGGTGGCGGCCCCGGGGGCGGGTTGCCGGGCCCGGCGGTGCTGCGGGTCCCGCCCGGGGCACCGCGTGTTCTCGGTCCCTGCGGGCTCTCGGCCGTCCCTGGAGGCCGGGTGGGGTCACGGGCCGGCCGCTTTCCTCCCCGCTTTCTTTAGCCACTGGTTGGTTTGGGAGAGAATTTTCCCAAGTGCTCTCATCCGGCCCTGCTGCTTGGGGAGCATCTCGTCTGTGTCCTGCGGCTGTTCAGTCCTGTGTTCGGCATCAAGGCTTTGCCTTTCTAATACAAATATTTTGAGCAAAGAGGATACTTACTGACATCAGGTTTTGTCTGTGCCGGTCCCGTTGTGGACCGTGGCAGCAGGGAGCGATGTGTGAAGGCCTAGTGAGCACAGTAAAAATCAGTGACCTTACAGTAAAGGATAATTTGGATATATAGGGAGTTAAAATAGATTTGCTATTCTCTGTGTGCTCAGTTTTAATGGGCAACCAATACAGATATATTCTATGTCAGTAAACACGTGTTTTTACAAAGTCAGTTTCCAGTGTATATAAATAAAAGTGACCTCATTCAGGCAGACACTAATACTGACAATGGCTACTGATGCAACAAGTTGAAGAGTTGAGTCCTGCTTGAATTTCTGCAGGTATAGAAGATAAAAAAACCCCCAGATATATCTGTATCGAAATAGAAATCACAGGAGATGCCATCTTTCCTGGAGAGCCATATATAACAGCTGAGGGCTATAAATGTGAGAAGTATTTGGGGAGCTTTTCCACACACGCAGCATCTGCAAGTAAGAAAGCAGGGAGGGGAGAACATTGACCAAAAGGAGTGAGTTTGCAGTAGAAGTTAGGAGAGACAGGCAAGAGGAAAAAAAGAGGAAAACTAGGAGAGAAGGAAAAGAAAAAATGGTAGTATTTACAAAGGGATGGGTGATGATGACCTTTGTTTTGTCTTTTGCTCTGTTGAACCACATTTTTCAACCATGAGAAATCTCAAAATTACTTTAACAGGAACTCAGAGATGGAAAGACAAAAGTGACGTGCTGGAATTCCACTGGGAGAGAGGTGGGCTGTTCCTTTAAGAAGGGCAGAGAAACTTCATACAGCAAAAGGTAAGATTAATGATGTTTTTTGTCCAGATCTGTGACATTGTGAATAACAGGTATTTTATAACGGCAGGGTTAGATGATTCTTTTCTGACGATAAGACCTTCACATTGCTTTTCTGAGAGCCAGTTTTGGTGTACACTTTAAGTATACATTCAGTGAATGTTTTGTGTTCTGAAGTGTTTTATGGCTGATAGACTTTAACTGTTGAGACATAGTTTTTCTTATTACCATTTTCTGAAATTTCTGCTTCATTATCCCTTTTTCCCCTGAATATTTCCAATATTTTGTTCAAAATGTTCCAAATGGAGTAATTCCAGTCCTTTATATAATGCCATAATAAATAGATAAATTAATAGATGACCTGAATTTGAAGTCACTGTAGCTTTTACAGGGTTATTATTTTGAATGGGGTTTTTTTTTGCTTTAAGCTATTCCCATCTTACTAGATGTTCATGGTTAGTTGAAGAACCTGTTGAATTTGTTTAGAGTTGCAAGTAAGTAATAAGCTTTCATGGGGGTTTTGGTATTTGCTTTGGGTATTTTTCCACTATATAATTCTAGTTTATGTGAGGTTTATTTATTTTGGGGAAAATATAGGCCAAAATGTTTTCATGTTGTATAAGTAGCTTTGTTTTATGCTCATGTAACTTACAGCAGGATTTTGTATCATGTTTCATCACATGAAAAAAAATAGATTTTTTTTTTCTTGATTTAAGGAAAAATCTCCAAGGTGCTTAAAATCTCAAATCTCAGAGTTCTAAATAAAATGTAAATAGCAGAAGACTTGTTTGCTTCTGCCAAAGTGTATAAATATTATGCTTAAAATCTCCTGTCACAAAACTAGCTTACTTGGTTTGTAGAAACCTTGTCCCACATATTGTGATACTCACCGGGAGACTTAAAAACAATTTCTAGCAGCACCTAAAAAAGGTCCTAAAATTAGCAGTCTTTGTGTTTGTGTTCAGCCTTTTGTGTGATGCGTGGTAAACTGACTTTCGTAGGTTTTCTCAGGATAGAAGATAATGATTTGAGGTGTACAGCACTGAATATGATGAAGAAAATTCATTCTGATCTTAGCAGGTGATTGGCTTATGCTTAACATCTTAGATGCACATCATTGTTTCTTAGTCATTGTGGCTTTCAAGTGCTAACACCAATCCCAAATTATCTACTCTTGGTGCAGTACCTCACATGATTATAATCTCAGCAACAGGAAATTCTGCAATTTGTGTATCTACTCCTGTAACATATTCTTCCTTTCTGTGTTTCTGTATTAGCTCTTCTTAGCACGTCCCTAAGTTTAATTTTGATAGAATAAAGACTGCGTAATTCCCATTACAGAACGTGTTACTGCTTTCTGGGGAGCTAAAACAATGCCTGGTACACTGTTTTTAAGGAGGCAGGTCTGATCTCATCTAGATAGGCAAGCATTGCTGTGTTGCTTGTCACATCCACTTAGTAGCTGATTTTACAGGACTCAGTGCACAGCAATAGGGGCTGGGATATCTTGGGTCAAAATCAGGTCAAGGGACTTGATCAGCTGCAGTTCATTTCAGAAGCAGGGACAGATGCAGTGCAGGATGTTCCACGATATGGAGGTCAAAACTGAAATTTCGGCTGGTAATAAGCCACGAAATACAATTCAATACAATTATTTGTAGTGAGTGGTCACTGTTTAATAGTTTACATTCACAAGAAGCTGGACTGTGTTGACAAATGAACATACATTGCATTTTACTACATTTTAGAATATCAAACTGCGAAATGTGATGCTGTGACTCTATTCTTTTGGCAAGAGTTCCATCTTAAGGACTTCTACCAGCCTTCTGTGTTTTGCCTCCTTTGCCTTAATTTTACTCTGCCTCTCATTCTAATATTATAATTTGTGAAGCTTCAGTACATGCTGGAAAACCAGCCTCATATTGTTCTTATAGCCAAGTGAAAGAGCTTCTAATTTTTGGAGACATTAACTTCTTTGAAGCATATAGGTATGAGTTTTTGGTAAAGGGACAAGTGTTTAGTCCCATTGCACTGAGGATGCACCTGAGGCTGCACACCTGGTCTGTACAGCTTTGCAGGTGTGCAGTGGAATAAAGAGTCAGCAATTCCCATGCACCCAGACAGACAAGATGTGATGCAAAGTAGCAACAGGGATCTTATTAACAGGGGAGCTGAACTCCTAAGCTTCCATCATAGATGAGTTTTTGTCTTCCCTTTCATTGCCAATTACTGGGCTTTTTGAATAATTTATTTATGATAATTTATCTCAGAAATAAATAGGACGTACGTAATACCTGGATGAGTCTGTGTATTTAGAACATTATTTCGGTGATATTCATGTTGCATTCCAGTCTCTACATTTATGGCACCTTTAGTCCTCTAAAATTGCCACAAGTGCCTGATTTTCTTACTTGTTGGGGACAAGGAGCAAACGTTGTTGCTTCTTTCCAGAATATTACATTGCAATTAAAGGGTTTTCTAAACACTGATGTTATGAGTTGGAGCTCTTATGTGAGTAGGGTCCAAAATTTTCTGATAGGCAAATATTTATGCTTCCTGCAGCTATGCTTATTTTTCTGTGTTATTTAAAGCAGCTAAATATGTATATAAGGAAACAATATGTGCATTTTTTTTCCCCCAGTAAATGTTCTTGGTACTACACAATGTGCTGGACATCCCTAAACCTTTATTACTCCCAACACATGCAATATCCTGCCTTGTCCCTTTTCCATTAGATCTTGCTGCTGAATTTTCCATGTATTTGAACTGGGCATTGGTTGTGTGAGCATGGGACAGGCCAGGTCTGCTGGTGAGTTTTTATCTGCTTAGTGATTCATTTCCAAACTTATAGGTTACTAATATTCAGAGACCATCCTGGTCTTTCTGCTTTTCTGAAGGTTAAAAGAAGGTTGTAGCTATAGGCTGAACACCAAGCTAGCTGATTTAGAAACATCTTGTGTAGCTCTCTGTAGCAATCTTTTTTGATTGAGATACGTGGCTCCATGCTGAGGTAATCTGCAGGGGAAGGAGAGCTTGTAGTAATGAGCTCTCCTTCCCCTGCTGATTATTATGTCCAATCCACAGGCAACTCTGCAGTATGTGGCTGCATAAAACATTTTTAAAGATAAGACTGATCAACACCTTTTTATGGCCATGAGTCCATAAGCAGGGTTCATGCCCTCTGAAATGCTGAAAACTACTTTTAAATTAATCTGCACTCCTGCTATAAAGGGAGTAGGTTTTATTACTTCATCTAATTGATGCTGTCTGTCCAGTTTTATAATTATTTCAGGTTTTAATCTGTTTTCAGATGCAAGGTGTTACTGCAAGTTTTAAAAAATCATTTAGAGCTGTTTCTAATAGATGGAAAGTTTGCACTACTAAAGTAAAATATGGACAACTTCCTTAATTTCCTTAGTAAAATCTACTTGATATGACAGTTACAATGCTTAGGAATTCTTCAAAAATTTCTACTGTGTTTGGCTAAGTACCTTTTCATTCCATCTAATCAGGAGACACTTAAAGGAAGAAGAGAAAATGAATTGCCTCACCATTTTGAATTTAGCCACAAAAGATATTCCTGACAAGAACTACAAAAAAGGATTCATGTGCAGAAGCAAATGCATTTTCTAACCTTATGTTCTTTTATAACTAAAACATTACTTTTTGACTATTGATAAAACACTAGCAGTTTTCCTCTGAATTATCTTCCTCTCTGAGCATCTTCCCTGAGAGAAATGCCTCCATATCAGGGGTCAGTTCAGTTCTGTTTCTTCTTGGCTTTTTTGGTTGGTGCTTTTCAGTGGGAAGGTTTTTTTGAGTTGTGTTTTGGGGCATTTTTTTGTCATTTTTGTTTGATTGT